GTTCTTTAATATACAACTGATGTTTATTTTATTTTTGGACAAATGTGATACCCTTCTTTGATCTATTGATAAGTCTAAGAGATTATAAGGCAAAAAATCGGAGTTTGATACCAACGGAGGGCGCAGCGCAGCCTGTCCATTGTTTAGCTTTACGCGTAAAACTAAACACTTTGATAATTTTACTACTTTAAGTAAGTTGCATTCAAAAACAAACAAGCTTTTAAATATGACGGATCAAAACGTACAATAAAAGATGCTCACCAAAATTGAACGAATAAATATTTCCGAATCATAGTGAAATTTCTACTCTATGTCAAATATTCTAACCGACCGACAAATCATCTGAAAATGTGTTTGGTATAGTATGTTTTATAAGATGATATAGCTTACGGGTACTGAACGTTAAACTCGTAGTTTCCATATCTCTACCAATTCCTGTTAGTATTTGTTGTCCCTCCTTATTACTCTGTTTAACTGACATGGACTATAGGCGTCAAAACAGAGGGGCCAGAGACCCCATCTCCTACATGGGTCGGGACTATCTCCTCCATTCATAAATTTCGACAGGGTTATGATTTCCCAAAATTTTAATTGATTTGAGCTAAAATAATGACTCACTATATATATATACATATATATGCAGACAAAAAAATTTAAATGTGTTTGGTAAATGGAAATGATGACTCGAAATATATTAGAAAGATATTAAGGTTAAAAATAGAAAATCGTTTAAGTTGATCATTAAACTAATTAACGTTAATTAATTTCACTTGTGTCTCCTCCCCAGAATCCTACAATATCTTGGCCACACTGAATCATAATGGACCCATAATGCCACTCTCACTGTAAAACTTTTCCAGGGAGCATGCCCTCAAAGTACTGAACTCCACATGTTTCTGCCTTCCTTTGGCAAGCGCCCTTTTGACGTTCTTTGGTCCTCCCTTACTCCCACAAATATACCGACACACACACACATATGCTTTCGACAACTATATTGATTAAATATATACCAGTCAAGAAATAGTAAGAAATAAAACGTATCGTTAAACAAATTCGTTTATTCTTTTAAAATTAATCAATAATATATTTTGTTTATGTTTATCTAATTTGTTTATTTTAAATTTAAATTATTGTTATGTCTAACTGGTAAAAACCACTTTAGCGAGTTTGCGAAGTTAGTTAGCGCCAGTGTAGTTTATAGAATATTATACGTGTTCTGTAATAATATCTTATGCTCAGTGAATACCTTCACTTGATCTTATTGTTAGAACTAACAGCATATACGTGTACATCTTTTTTGCAGGTTTATAACCTTGGCACCGGTACAGGTTACACAGTATTGCAGCTTGTCCAAGCCATTGAGAAAGTCAGCAACAAAACAGTACGATTATGCCTTTATACATTATTTAGTTGTATATCCAATCATATTTTACTTGATAAAAATATGTAGGCATTATATGAAAGTTGACAACTAGGTTGTTTGAGGAGGGATATAACGTATACTTTAAATTGTTTTACATCAGTATTAGATGTGATATAACAAAGTAAAATACATTACTATTGTTACGTATCTGCTTGTTTGTTAATTTCTGTTATAAATTCTTTCCGAGGAAGTTCAACGATACAAGTCCTTTCTTATTAAACCAGTTTATTTTTCCTCGATTCAGCTTTGTAATACACAGAATTTCCAAT